GGCATTTCGTCTTATTACTCTCCTCCTTTAGTTGACAATCTTTCTTCCCTTTCTCTTCACACCAATGTTGCTTCACTCTCTCTCTTTTACAGGTACTTTAATGGACAATGTTCGGTGGATCTAGCATCCTGTGTACCGTCGTGGGCTCCTAACACACGTCTTGCCCGCGGTGCCCACCATTTCTCTGTGGATGTCGGTCACACTAAATATACCCGTTATAAGTACTCCTTCTTTTCCTCACACAGCCAAACTGTGGAATGCTCTGCCTTCTGTGTTTCCATACTTATACAATCTGTCTCACTTTTAAAAGTCTGGATTACCGGCATCTTCCTGGTGTAGATATATCTTCTTTTCTTCTTTTTAACTTCCTTTCTTATTTTTTCCCTCCAGGCCTCAGTGTGGGCCGTTGACCTGTGCCGGGTGCTTATAACAGGTGTAAATATTAAGAGGTACCCATAAATTTAGGACAGGTAAATGATCACGAGGGAATGGTTGTGAAATTAATGAATAAAATTAACGACATGATATTGTGTGATAGTTAGTTTAGGTTAGGTTTGGTTTGGTTGGTTGGGTTAGTTTAGGTTTGGTTAGGTTAGGTTAGGTTGGTTGGGTTAGGTTAGGTTGGTTAGGTTAGGTTTTGTTGGGTTAGGTTTGGTTAGGTTAGGTTTGGTTGGGTTAGGTTGGGTTTGGTTGGGTTAGGTTAGGTTTTGTTAGGTTAGGTTAGGTTGGTTAGGTTAGGTTGGGTTGGGTTAGGTTAGGTTTGGTTGGGTTAGGTTAGGACTTGGGTGATGGATAATTAAGTGGTTCTAAGACGTTTGCTTTCTTTCTTTTTGTCTATAGAGGAAATTAAAAGCTATTTTTTTCTCTCATGAAATGCTATGGGTCGATTTATTTTCGTTTTACTGTTGATAGAGTTAGAAAGTAGAGCTAGCTTACCTCTCTCACAGTAAAAGCTACAACAGGGTCCTCTTGTTTGGTATTTTAGTGTGATTCATTCTGCCGTAGACTGCTGGCAGGGATGATGTCTCTCTCTCTCTCCTCTCTCTCTCTCTCTCTAATTCATGTGATTAGTCTGTACAGACGTTGACTCTCTGGACTTAGGGGTGAGGATGGGGGTGTGGGGGGTAGGGGTGTAGATAGGGTGGAGGGTGGGGTAGGGATGTAAGGGGTAGGGGCGGGGGGTGGTAGGGATGTAAGGGGTAGGGGTGGGGGTAGGGATAGGGTGGGTGGTGGGGGTAGGGATGTAGGGGTGGGGTAGGGATGTAAGGGGTAGGGGTGTAAGGGGAAGGGTGTAGGGGGGGGGGGGGATGGGGTGGTGGGGGTAGGGATGTAGGGGTGGGTGGGGGTAGGGGTGTGGGGTAGGGGTGTGGGGGTAGGGGTGGGGGGTAGGAATGTGTGGTGGTCACTCTTGTATGATGTGTTTTGATGGTCGTTTTTTTGTTTGTTTTTTGTAGGGTGACTGTGAGAGCGAGAGACTCAGCACTAAGGGAGGATACCAGATATTTTTGTGGCTATAATTCAGGGTGTGTGTGTTAACAGTGATTTATTTAGGACACACACACACACACACACACACACACACACACACACACACACACACATTGGGGCTGAATGAGTAAAATAAATACAGTGTGTCATTTATACATTGCTCTCCTTCTCTGTGTGTGTGTGTGTGTGAGGGGGAGGAGGAGGAGGAGGGAGGGAGGAGGAGGGGAGGGAGGGTGGTATAATGGAGCTTTAATGTGTGTTGTGAAGTTTTGTCTCGCCGCCCGCACTCTGTTAGGTACTTGGGTGTGCCTTCAGTATTAACACGAGGAGACAGCCTGGCCGAGTGTTGTGTCTACTCGTCCACCGCAACAATCTCATCCACCACAACCACTGCACCTATCCCACCCACCTCAACCACTGCACCTATCCCACCCACCTCAACCACTGCACCTATCCCACCCCTCAACCACTGCCTATCCCACCCACCTCAACCACTGCCTATCCCACCCACCTTAACCACTGCCTATCCACCCCAACCACCACCTATCACCCCTCAACCACTGCCCTCACCCCCACCTCCAACCACTGCACCTATCCCACCCACCTCAACCACTGCACCTATCCACCCACCTCCCAACCTGCCTATCCCACCCACCTCCAACCACTGCACCTATCTCACCCCTACAACACACACCTATCCACCCACCTCACCCACTGCACCTATCCCACCAACCGCAACCACTGCACCCATCTCACCCACCTCAACCACTGCACCTATCCCACCCACCTCAACCACTGCACCTATCCCACCCCCTCCAACCACTGCACCTATCACACCACCTCAACCATGCTATCCACCCACCCCTCAACCACTGCACCCTATCCACCACCTCCACCACTGCCCATCTCACCCACCTCAACCACTGCCTATCCACCCACCTCAACCACTGCACCTATCCCACCCTCAACCACTGCACCTATCCCACCACCTCACCCTGCCCTTCTCACCCACCGCACCCACTACCTATCCCACCCACCTCAACCACTGCCTATCACCCACCTCAACCACTGCACCCATCTCACCCACCTCACCCTGCACCTATCCACCCACCTCCAACCACTGCACCTATCCCACCCACCTCAACCACTGCCTATCACCCACCTCAACCACTGCACCTATCACCCACCTCCCTGCTGCCTCTCACCCCACCACCCTGCACCTATCCACCACCTCCACCCTGCCTATCCCACCAACCTCAACACCACCCATCTCACCCACCTCAACCACTGCACCTATCCCACCACCAACCACTGCCTATCCCACCCACCTCAACCACTGCCTATCCCACCCACCTCAGCCACTGCACCTATCCCACCCACCTCCCAACACCACCTCCACCCACCTCAACCACTGCCTATCCCACCCACCTCAACCACTGCCCATCTCACCCACCTCCCAACCACTGCCTATCACCACCTCCAACCACTGCACCTATCCCACCACCTCCAACCACTGCCTATCCCACCACCTCAACCACTGCCTATCCCACCACCTCAACCACTGCCTATCCCACCCACCTCAACCACTGCCTATCACCCACCTCAACCACTGCACCCATCTCACCCCACCTCAACCCTGCACTATCACCCACCCACTGCACCTATCCCACCACCTCAACCACTGCACCTATCCCACCCACCTCAACCACTGCACCCATCTCATCCACCGCACCCACCTCATCCACCACACCCACCTCATCCACCACCCTATCTCACTTCTTTGACAATTTGCATGACCCATTAATCCAGTTTCCATAAATCCCAAAGACTTTATATAATGGAAAATCCCACTCATAAATCACCTTATTATACCACGTTTCAGTAGGTCGGAATAAATCCCTCAATAAATACTCTAATCTTTATTAATCGCTATAAATAAATTCACACCTCCATAAATCCCGCCAGTCCTCTCTGAAAGACACTGCAGGGTGCTCGTAAATCCCTCGGGAGCTCGTTGTCTGGAAATTTCAATGCGACACCATAAATCCTCAACCTCCCTCCTCCTCCCTCCCTCCTGGGTTAATCCGTCGTATTTGGGTCCCGTGTGGAGGATGTTCACCTAAATCTGGTTATTAGGTCAGGGGTTTAAATTCTTCTTTCTTTCTTTCTTTCTTTTCTTTCTTTCTTTCTTTCTTTCTAGTTTGTTGGATTTATCTCATTTCCTCAGTTATTCAGTGAAATTTCTTTACTCTCTCTCTCTCTCTCTCTCTCTCTCTCTCTCTCTCTCTCTCTCTCTCTCTCTCTCTCTCTCTCTCTCTCTCTCTCTCTCTCTCTCTCTCTCTTTCCCACCGTCCCCAACTTTTTCTCACACTTTCCTTCTCCTTTCCTCTCCTTCCTCCATTCATCACTCTACCTCCTCCCTCTCTCCATCTCTTCCTTTTACCTCTTCATCTCCTTTTCCTCCCTCTCCTTTCATTCTCTTTCCCTCCCTCTCTTTCCATTCTTCTTTTCCCCCCTCCTTCAATCCTTTCCTTTCTCCTCCCTCTTTTTACCACCAATTCCACAACTTATTTTTTCTCCACACACTTCTCTACTCTCCTCTCCTCTCCTCCTCTCCTCTCCTCTCCTCCTCTCCTCTCCTCTCCTTCTTTATCACCACTATTTATCGGTTTCCACAAAGAGAAGAAGCCAACTAAAAGTTTGGTCGAGGAAATTGTACGTTAATTCTTCTTTCTTATTTCCACGAATTTTCCTTTAACTTAGGCCATATATAGTGTGGGGCTGGTGTAGGCTTCTCTTGAGAGCTTTATCTTGATACAAATGGTCCGTGATCCCTTTGTCCGTGGTTGGTCCGTGGTTTGTCCTTGATTCGTGGTTATGGTCCGTGGTTTATCCTTGGTTCGTGGTTATGGTTGTGGTACGTGTTTTGTTCTTTGTCCTTGGTTCGTGGTTTTGGTATGTGGTCCGTGGTTTGACCTTGGTTCGTGGATATGGTCGTGGTACGTGGTTTGTTCTTTGTCCTTGATTCGTGGTTATGGTCTGTGGTGTGTGGTTTGTTATTTGTCCTTGGTTCGTGGCTATGGTCGTGGTCCGTGGATTTGTGAGGATTTCGTGGTTTCTGTGTGTTTTTTGTTATTTGGTCCGTGATCATCCTATGGTTCGTGGCTGGTCCTTGGTTAACTCGTGGTTGGGCTTGGTCCGTGGTTCGTGACTTGTCAGTGGTTCGTGATTGGTCTTTTCTTATGTGCGTGCCGTCATGTCTGTCTCTTGGTTTGTGGGCGTGTCTGACTGTCTCTTTCTGTCTGTCTGTCCTCTGTCTGTCTGTCTGTCTGTCTGTCTGTCTGTCCGTCCGTCTGTGGGCATATATGAATCTATATCTTTATCCATGCGTTTTTTCTCCATAAGTGTGTGTGTGTGTGTGTGTGTGTGTGTGTGTGTGTGTGTGTGTGTGTGTGTGTGTACCACCAGGTGTTCAACAGGTAACACGGGTTCTCCTCCTCCTCCCCCTACAGACGTGTTCCTGGGGCCGGTGGATGACTACGTGTTGGCCCCGGTGGCTCGCTTTTCCGGGGCGTGGAATGTGCCCTCCCTCACCCCCGGCGGCCAACCCAGCGCCTTCGACAGTCGCAAGGATTACCCCTTACTCACCAGGCTCAAGGGCTTCTACACTGAGGTATGTTCAATTCAGACTTTCTTCCCAATGAGATTAATTCAGACTTTCTTCCCGATGAGTTCATTCAGAGTTTCTTCCTGATGAGTTATTTCAAGAGTTTCTTCCCGATGAGTTCATTCAGAGTTTCTTCCCGATGAGTTATTTCAAGAGTTTCTTCCCAATGAGATTAATTCAGACTTTCTTCCCAATGAGATTAATTCAGACTTTCTTCCCAATGAGATTAATTCAGACTTTCTTCCCAATGAGATTAATTCAGACTTTCTTCCCAATGAGTTATTTCAGACTTTCTTCCCCATGAGTTCATTCAGGCTTTCTTCCAGTGAGAATAATTCTTTCTTTGATGAGTTCATTCAGGTTTCTTCCAATGAGATTAATTCAGACTTTCTTCCCAATGAGTTATTTCAAGACTTTCTTCCCCATGAGTTCATTCAGAGTTTCTTCCCAATGAGGTTAATTCACACTTTCTTCCCAATGAAATTAATTCAGACGTTCTTCCCAATGAGTTCATTCAGAGTTTCTTCCCAATACGATTAATTCAAGAGTTTCTTCCCAATGAGATTTGAAGGAATTTAAAAGTTTGGATGGCTACTGGCAAGACTTCTTTACTGACCTCGATAGAATTAAATTGACGAGCTAGAATAGAACGACTTGAGAGTCTCTTTACCGAGGTTAGTGGACGTTGATGAGCCCTTTACTGAGGTTATGGACGTTGATGAGTCTCTTTACCGAGGTTATGACGTTGATGAGTCTCTTTACCGATGTTAGTGGACGTTGATGAGTCTCTTTACTGATGTTAGTGGACGTTGGATGAGTCTCTCTTACTGAGTGTTGGTGGACGTTGATGAGTCTCTTACCGAGGTTAGTGGTAGACGTTGATGAGTCTCTTTACCGAGTGTTAGTGGACGCTGATGAGTCTTTACCGAGGTTAGTGGACGTTGATGAGTCTCTTTACCGATAGTTAGTGGACGTTGATGAGTGTCTTTACCGAGGTTAGTGGACGTTGATGAGTTCTTTAATGAGGTTAGTGGACGTTGATGAGTCTCTTTACCGAGGTTAGTGGACGTTGATGAGTGTCTTTACCGAGGTTAGTGATCTGATGAGGTTCTTTATCGAGGTTAGTAGGTGGACGTTGATGAGTGTCTTTATCGAGGTTAGTGGACGTTGATGAGTCTCTTTACCGGAGGTTAGTGACGTTGATGAGTGTCTTTACTGAGGTTAGTGGACGTTGATGAGTGTCTTTATCGTGAGGTTAGTGGACGTTGATGAGTGTCTTTATCGAGGTTAGTGGACGTTGATGAGTTCTTTACTGAGGTTAGTGGACGTTGATGAGTCTTTACTGAGGTTAGTGGACGTTGATGAGTTCTTTACTGAGGTTATGGACGTTGATGAGTGTCTTTATCGAGGTTAGTGGACGTTGATGAGTGTCTTTACCGAGGTTAGTGGACGTTGATGAGTCTCTTTTACCGAGGTTAGTGGACGCTGATGAGTCTCTTTACTGAGTGTTAGTGGACGTTGATGAAAGTGTCTTTACTGAGGTTAGTGGACGTTGATGAGTCTCTTTACCGAGGTTAGTGGACGTTGATGAGTGTCTTTATCGATAAGCTAGTGGACGCTGATGAGTCTCTTTTTACTGAGGTTAGTGGACGTTGATGAGTGTCTTTTATCGAGGTTAGTGGACGTTGATGAGTTTTTACCGAGGTTAGTGATCGCTGATGATGTCTTTATCGAGGTTAGTGGACGTTGATGAGTCTCTTTACCGAGGTTAGTGGACGTTGATGGCGTCTTTTATCGAGGTTAGTGGACGTGCTGATGAGTCTCTTTACCGAGGTTAGTGGACGTTGATGAGTCTTTACTGAGGTTAGTGGACGTTGATGAGTGTCTTTACTGAGGTTAGTGGACGTTGATGAAGTGTTTCACTATGTTAGTGATCGTTGATGAGTCTCTCTTTTACCGAGGCAGTGGACGTTGATGAGTGTCTTTATCGAGGTTAGTGACGTTGATGAGTCTTTACCGAGTGTTATGGACGTTGATGCCCTTACCGAGGTTGCGGACGTTGATGCGTTCTACGAGGCTAGTGACGCTGATGCGTCTTTACCGAGGTTAGTGGACGTTGATGAGTCTCTTTACTGAGTTAAGGTGGACGCGATGAGTGTCTTTATCGAGGTTAGTGGACGTTGATGAGTGTCTTTATCGATAGTGGACGTTGATGAGTGTCTTTATCGAGGTTAGTGGACGTTGATGAGTGTCTTTATCGAGGTTAGTGGATCTGATGAGTGTCTTATCGAGGTTAGTGGACGCTGATGAGTGTCTTTACCGAGTGTTGCGGATGTTGATGAGTGTCTTTATCGAGGTTAGTGGACGTTGATGAGTCTCTTTACTGAGGTTAGTGTAATGCTGATGAGTCTCTTTATCGAGGTTAGTGGACGCTGATGAGCAAGTCTTTATCGAGGTTAGTGGACGTTGATGAGGCCTTTATCGAGGTTAGTGGACGTTGATGAGTGTCTTTATCGAGGTTAGTGGACGTTAATGAGTCTCTTTATCGAGGTTAGTGACGTTGATGAGTAGTTCTTATCGAGGTTAGTGACGTTGATGAGTGTCTTTATCGAGTGTTAGTGGACGCTAATGAGTCTCTTTATCGAGGTTAGTGGACGCTGATGAGTGTCTTTACCGAGGTTAGTGGACGCTGATGAGTGCCTTATCGAGGTTAGTGGACGCTGATATGTCTTTATCGAGGCGTTAGTGGACTGATGAGTGTCTTCTACTGAGGTTAGTGGACGTTGATGAGTGTCTTTACTAAGGTTAGTGGACGTTGATGAGTGTCTTTATCGAGGCTAGTGGACGTTGATGAGTGTCTTTATCGAGGTTAGTGGACGCTGATGAGCGTTCTATCGAGGTTAGTGGACGTTGATGAGCGTTCTACCTGCTGTTAGCAAGTGGACGTTGATGAGCGTCTTTATCGAGGTTATGGGACGTTGATGAGTGCCTTACTGGAGGTTAGTGGACGTTGTTGGAGTGTCTTTATCGAGTGTTAGTGGACGTTGTTGCGCGTCTTTATCGAGGTTAGTGACGTTGATGAGTGTTCTATCGAGGTTAGTGGACGTTGATGAGTGTCTTACTGAGGCTAGTGGACGCTGATGAGTGTCTTTATCGAGGTTAGTGGACGTTGATGAGTGTCTTTATCGAGGTTAGTGGACGTTGTTGAGTGTCTTTAATGAGGTTAGTGGACGTTGGATGAGTCTCTTTACTGAGTGTTAGTGGACGCTGATGAGTGTCTTTATCGAGGTTAGTGGACGTTGATGAGTGTCTTTACTGAGGTTAGTGGACGTTGATGAGTCTCTTTACTGGAGGTTAGTGGACGTTGATGAGGCTCTTACTGAGGTTAGTGACGTTGATGAGTGTCTTTACTGAGGTTAGTGGACGTTGATGAGTGTCTTTACTGAGGTTAGTGGACGCGATTAGTGTCTTTATCATGTTAGTGGACGTTGATGAGTGTCTTTACCGAGGTTAGTGGACGTTGACAGTGTCTTACTGAGGTTAGTGGACGTTGATGAGTGCCTTACTGGAGGTTAGTGGACGTTGATGAGCGCCCTTTACTGAGGTTAGTGGACGTAGATGAGTCTCTTTACTGAGGTTAGCGGACGTTGATGAGTGTCTTACCGAGGTTAGTGGACGTTGATGAGTCTCTTTACTGAGTGTTGGTTGGACGTAGATGAAGTCTCTTTACTGAGTTTAGTGGACGTTGATGAGTCTCTTTACTGAGGTTAGTGGACGTTGATGAGTGTCTTTATCGAGGTTAGTGGACGTTGATGAGTGTCTTACTTCGAGGTTAGTGGACGTTGATGAGTGTCTTTACTGGAGGTTAGTGGACGTTGATGAGTGTCTTTACTGAGGTTATTGGACGTTGATGAGTGCTCCTTACTGAGGTTAGTGGACGTTGATGAGTGTCTTTACTATAAGTTAGTGGACGTTGATGTGAGCGCCCTTTTTACTGAGGTTAGTGGACGTTGATGAGCGTTCTTACTGAGGTTAGTGGACGTTGATGAGGCCTTTATCGAGGGGTTAGTGGACGTTGATGAGTGTCTTTACTGGGAGGTTAGTGGACGCTGATGAGTGTCTTTACTGAGGTTAGTGGACGTTGATGAGTGTCTATACTGAGATTAGTGGACGTTGATGAGTCTCTTTACCGAGGTTAGTGGACGTGCTGATGCAGCCCTTTACTGAGGTTAGGTGGACGTTGATGAGTGTCTTTACTGAGGTTAGTGGACGTTGATGTGGAGTGTCTTTACTGAGGTTAGTGGACGTTGATGAGTGTCTTTATCGAGGCTAGTGACGTTGATGAGTCTCTTTACTGAGGTTAGTGGACGTTGATGAGTGTCTTTACCGAGGTTAGGTGGACGTTGATGAGTGTCTCTACTGAGGTTAGTGGACGTTGATGAGTCTCTTTTACTGAGGTTAGTGACGCTGATGAGTGTCTTCTACTATGTTAGTGGACGTTGATGAGTGTCTTTACTGGAGGTTAGTGGACGTTGATGAGTGTCTTTACTCGAGGTTAGTGATCGCTGATGAGTGTCTTTACTGCGTTAGTGGACGTTATCAGTGCGTCTTCTTTATCGAGGCTAGTGGATCGTTGATGAGTGTCTTTACTGAGGTTAGTGGACGTTGATGAGTGTCTTTACTGAGGTTAGGTGGACGCTGATGAAAGTGTCTTTACTGAGGTTAGTGGACGCTGATGAGCCCTTTACTGAGGTTAGTGGACGTAGATGAGTCTCTTTACTGAGTGTTAGCGGACGTTGATGAGTGTCTTTACCGAGGTTAGTGGACGTTGATGAGTCTTTACTGAGGTTATTGGACGTAGATGAGTCTCTTTACTGAGTTTAGTGGACGTTGATGAGTCTTTACTGAGGTTAGTGGACGTTGATGAGTGTCTTTTATCGAGGTTAGTGGACGCTGATGAGTGTCTTTACCGAGGTTAGTGGACGTTGATGAGTGTCTTTACTGAG